GCCTGGATACGGAAAAAAGGCTCTTTCAAGTATCTTGTTTCCAGTTTTTTTTAAAACAGCAAAAAAAGGGGAGAATTGTTGTTTAAGAAAAGGAAAGAAAGAAGAAACATCAAGCTTCCGCTAATGCTTGCATGGGCAATAAAAATATTTCATTTACATAAAAACTAAAAAAGTAAATTATCAATGAATTCCAGTCCTTGAAAGGAATGTTCCCTTCTTAAAAGCACTCCGCAGCATGTGTAACAATTCTACCACTAATATAATTAATAAAATATTTTATTGCACCATTATATACATTTTCAGTATAATTTCTTAAAACAATCTGACGCATTAAATTCTTAGAAAACTTTTATAGCTGATAATAAAAGAGAAAATTTTGAAACTAAGATATACTTATATCATTTGAGAATATTCCCAGGCAACGAAAACTAAGCTGGTATGTACTGCGTTACCATCAGTTACGAAGTAGGAAATGTTCTTAATATTAATTTACTTTTCTTCATTTCCAGTAATTAATAAACAAGTACACAAATAAAGTGTTTCTTTTACCATGAACGAATACTATAATTATACCCGATATAGCAATTAACATTTATTGTATTTATTCATGGTTCCCAAAATGACTTTTATGGTGTTCATATACATCGAAGGAAAAAAGAAAATCGATGACTTAAAAAACAATCTACTGACGTTGCTCTAGGAATGCCTGCAGAAGTTTTCTTCGAAACAGAATACGGTTATCCTCTCATTTAATCAACATAATTTCTTTCTCTGCAGTTTCAGGAAGGTAATTGTATCAGATAGTACTACGCTACGGCTGGCATAGGATAATTGACGAAAGATAAAGTTCCATTTTGTATTCGATTGCAAGTATCCGCAGGAGTATAATAAATACAGCAGTTTTTCCAAGAAACTATTACTTAAGGCAAATTTATCCTTCAGAGTTTCAGTTTCGTCTCGGATAAGTATTAAAAAACAAAAAAAAAATTATATTTATATAATCAGAAAATAAGCTCTTGAATTTAATCTTTTGGGGAAGTAATGGTATTCTTCAGAAGATAAATTATTCGTATATTTTCCCTCTCCACTTTCTTACAATAAAATTAGTGAAAAAAGGGGAAAATACGCGAGTATTTTCTAAAATATATCTAAAAATATTTTTTGTAATAAGCAAAGTAATGAAATATGCATAATAATAATGCTGTAGATTCTTAACTACACACATATGGATTGATAGACCTGAGCAGATTCTTAAGGTGCATAACAAAGAATAAATATTTTCAGACAGGGTCACTGAATTCAATATAGTTTTATTTTGGAATAAACCAAACCTTGGTAAGCATCATACATCATCATTATGGGTGCGCTATGCACTGCACAGCTCTGTGCAGCTTGCAGTTTTTAGACAAAGGACGAAGCAAAGCAACAGCTATGCCTAGCTAGCAGGAAGGCAAAGCAAGAGAAGAGGGCTACGCCTTGGTAGCAGCAATATTTATAATAAAAAATTTCTATAATTTGATTGGATGAGAGCCATCCGCATTACAGTAAGAAACAGGAAACGGGTTAATTTAGAAAGTATTTTTTGCAGTCCAGAAAAAGTATCATAAACAACTTGGAACGAAAAGGGGAGATAGCCATATTAAAATGAGGGATTAAAAGATTATTGCTAAATTAAAATTAAGACCTTTCTTTCATACTTTATATCTTACATATTTCCTCCCATCAAAGAGAAAAAAGGCTGGATGATAGAAAAGCTGCTTTAGAAGAAAGTATTAGAGCATTAGGAAAACTAGAGAACTACAATTTTTAAAAACATTCGCAAAATCTCTATCTAAATTTTGGATAAAACGACCAATGAATTCAAATATTTAACTTCTGTTGACATTTTTAGTTAAATTTTAATGTTTGCAAGATAATCATCAGTAAAAAAAGAGCCACGCATAGTTGCTGCTTCTCTTCGTCTTTTGTCTAAAATATTGTAATCTCTATAGAATTATGGAATGCAAATCACAACCAATACTGATATATAACTTATTTAGGCTTTTAAAGGCCTTCTTTATTCCCAAACAAAACTATGTTGAACTCAATGGCCACGTCTGAAAACTTTTTTCTCCGTCATGCACCTTAGGAATTTACGCATTTCTATAATACTATGTGGGCTGTTAAGAATTATCGAATTTCTACAGAATTATTCCCCAGTATTTGATCTCACAAAGGATAAGTTGATAAATATGTCACGATTTTTGGAAAACGATATACTGCAAAAGAATGCACTGTGAATTTCTGACAAAAGAAATAAAGCATTTACTATGTTTATAGATTTTTAAAAGGCGAAATCTTGTCATTTTTATGTCTTCAAATGTGTTGAAAATGAAGATTGGAATACATTAGAAGAAACACTGTTATAAACTAAAGATTATATTTAGATATATCAGATATTTAGATATATCAGATATTTAGATATATTAGATATTCATGTATTTAGAACAGAAAAGGGAAATAGCCAAATTAAAATTAGTATTTTCTTTAATACAGTATACTTTACATATTTATGTACATGTCTGTGTGTGTTTGTGTAGTGATGATATTGATGTTTTTGCATGTATAAATGTTACAGCCAGATACTAATGAAGGCTCACATGATTAAAATTGGTTTTTAAACAGCAGTAATGTGTTTAGTGTAAAGACTATTTTGAATAATATAAGTTCTATTGCCCACTTATTAAAAAAGATTAATAAGAACTCTCTGTAAGCCAGCTTAAAATCTTAGAACATTTTACGCAGTAGTTCATAAAAAAGTAAAACCTCTCTTTAATTTTCCTGTTGGTTCTTTCATATCAATTCGACATTTCATATCATTATCATTTCGACAATGAAAAATCATCGGTCATAAATTCATTAATTTCTTTTAAATCCTTCCTTTTTAAAAATGATATATGAAGGATTTTTCACGACTCGACAAATACGTAACTTAATAACTTAAACATGAAATTTGCAGTTTAAAAAAAGGAACTATTAACAGACTTTTAGACTGGCTTTGTTCATATTACTGAAGGAGGCGCTTCCTTGATAAGGCTCCCCACGCCTAACCTTGATATTGCAGAGTTTCAGTATTAGAGATACCTGAATTTATGCTAAAAGGGATTGATACTGGAAGCTTTTGTTCAATATGAAAGTAAATGAATAATTGCATGAAACTGAATGACACCTTTTTTCCTAATTAAATAATTTTTCCTTATAGAAAATTAATTTTTCAGATGTTGATGTTTAAATGAATTGCGAGGAAAATAGTTATATGCTGGTTGTTTCATTTTTTAAAGTTAAATATCAAGGAATTGCTTCCACTTGTATCAAAAACAACGATAATAATGGTTAAAAATTGTTTAAAGATTTGTGAATAAAATTGTCTTTAAAGTTTTATGTCTCAGATATAGAAAAATCGTATGTTATTACGCAGAAATACTATTATATGCATTTTCTTGTTCTGCGCGATAGAATCGTTATTTTCATTCAAATTGTAATAGTAAGAAGGATTTAGAAAATGGTTTGTGGAGAAATATAAGAATGTGAAACATATATTCCCATGTGAAACTGGTATCAGAAATTTCGATTTACGGTTGATCCCCAATATTTGCACTTTTTCTGAATCTTATTTATGCATTTTGATGAAAGACTTCCAGAAGGGAATGAAAACCAAACCTCCTGAAGCGTTTCGTCCAATAATGTTGAAATTTCTTTTAAATACCCAAATTATTGACATTACATCCAATTTTTTATTAAAAATGCGAAAGGATTTCTTTAAACATGAAAATTAGGCAATGTGATGTAAATTTCATGAAATAAATTTAAAAAAGTAAATTTATTCTTAATGTAATTTAGTATTTACATTCTAACGCTTTGCCCATCAATATTTTTGTATTTGCGAAGTGCTGACTAAATCGAATGCTTCTTTTTTACTTCAGATGAGAGAAGAAACAATTAATTAATCCGTCAAGAATTAACTCATTTATTCCAATTTATTTATTTTGTTCAAATTTGAAAAGAATGATATTTTCTAAGGTTAATTAACACTAAATATAACAAAATTAGAAAATTTTTTATATTTTATATAAGAAATCTGGCCCGTCCTCTAAATAGGACATTGGGGTAAAGGGGATAAAATTTGCACCTACATGTTTTTAGTATTCTCTTCAATGATGAAAAGTGATTTCCCGTGTACAAATTTTACTTTATTTGACTAATACTTTCTTATTTACAAGATAGTTCACTTTTCAGATGAATTTCACGCTAATCTTGGCGGAATGGTCCAAAGCAAGCCTGACAAAGTGTTTGTCACGTTTGACCACAGTATGTTTTTGGTTTTCCTTTGCAGCACTCTTTTTGACAACGACGCGATTTTTCTCGCTTAGTAGTAAAAAATGACCAACACTATCTTTACGAATATCTTCTTTTGCATCAGAAGGCACAGTCCAGATCCTAGGTCTACTTTTTGTTCTTATCACAGTTTTTTAGATAAGTTGTTGTCACAGCTCTTCGGAACTCCTTCAAGATTAGAGCTTCATTTTTGTTCCGAGTTTTGTGAATTATCCAGGCGTTTACCATAGTCATATCCAGAGAACGTATAAAAAGTGGTCAGTACCCCTTTATTTCCACGAATTTTAATGGAATAAATTCCAGCCAAACAGTCGTGGTGATCCACACCGCCCATATGTTTGTTGTAAGAATTAATCATATTTGGCATCTTCACGTTAACTTTATCTTTATGTCCGCCTCTTCACATCAAAGAATGGTTCTAAAGTGCTGAAATTTGTAGCAACCGTGAAAGTACTATTATCATTCCTTTGAACCAGAAAAATATCAGATTTCTCGTCAAATGCAAAATCAGACGTGCCTCTTTCTTTCTTCCGCATAGACTTAGATTCTTCTAAAGGACACACAGGGTTTATCAGATTTTCTCGTAATGGTTGCTGTAGCTCGAAAACCCTGTTCACCAACACTTTTCAAAGATCAATGCTAGTAAAAAAGATATCAAAATATAAAGTGTAGCTTGAAGGATTCGCAATATTCTCTGTTAGTTTCATCATAACCCGAGTACTAAGAGGAGTATCATTTCTTGCATCAGATTCTTTACCGCAATAGAGAGAAAAATTGTAATAATATCCCTCGCTCCCACAGAGAGCCCAAAGTTTATATCCAAGACATATAGGCTTGCCTCGTATAAACTGTTTCGGACTATTCCTACCGTAGTACATGACGATCATTTCATCAATGCTTAGATTTGCAGAGAAGTGTCCAAATTTCAAAAAATTATTATTGAGTACGGCAAACAAAGGTTTTACTTTGAAGGATCGATCCTGGCATGCTGACGACAGTTCCATTGTCACAAAGTGTAAATAAGATTTCAACTTTTGAAGCGGTTTCGTAACATGGCATTTTTCACCAGGGTAATGCCAAGGTCTTCAGCATCTGACTAGTAGTCACGTTCGCAGGTATTTGAATGATGACCAGTTAGAAGTAAAATTCCGATAAAAACACGTATTTCGTTAGCAGTGGTCAAGAAATCGTGTTCGTTTTTTACATCTGTTGCATATCGCACAGTCTCTTTTACAATGAGATCGTAGACTTCACTGGAATAAAACTGCTCAAAAAGCTCTGATGGAGTTTTATCTTTCAATGCAGTTTCCATCTCCTTGAACAAGTCACTTGCAATTGATTCATCCTGTGTTTTCCATTTAGTATATTGTGGTGATTTATTCTTTATCCAAGATGACTGATGTCTTTTAGCTCTTTTCTACTCTTTGGAAACACTAGAGCTTGTGGACGGTTCAGGCTGGAAACTATATCCAGTTATAACCTACAGAGACCCAAGAACATCGGTTACAATAATCTAACCAGTATTTACTTCATTCTCATCCCCTTCATCTTCGTCAGTTAGTTCGCTGGCATCTGGTGGTAACACAGCAATTTCAACGTCGCTCTCATCTGAATCTAAACTATCGAATAGTTCTAATGTTTCCTCTAACTTCAGAAACCTTTGCATTGGCATAACTCAGCAGGGGTGAAACACTAGAATTTTTTTTTTTTTACTCTTATTTATAAAGAGAGAAAGAACGCGTCAATTGCATGCTTATCGTCCCATTGTCCTATTTAGAGGACAGTTAAAAACAATGCGCTAAAACTCACCTAATAACAATATAGCTTTCATTAACCACCAGGATGATAAGGAAAGAGTACTTTCACATGCAAAATGCCCAGCCGAGTGTCCAAAGTAAACTGAAAACAAATTTTGCAACCACAAAAGAAATGATACATACCATGCCTACTAATGCGATGAATAATCAAAATGTCCAGAGGAAGGAGGAGGGTGTGAGACACATAACTCACGCTAGCAGATGCTAATACATATTTCTACATATTCCAGTTGGCAAAATATTCGTACCAAGCAAATACTGATTTCTACATGCTATTTTTCAGCTGTCCTTTAAACAGTCCCCCCTCAGGGGTTGACTCAGGCGAATGCCTGGGAAGCACTGGTTAGGATCTGTACCTAGGCAGTCTCGACCGCGGGGGTATAAAAACAGACTTCACAGAAGGCCTGAGGGCTCTCGGGACAGAGTAAGGCTCGGCAGGGACCATACGGGTACTGTCTTGTCTGCCCATGCTCTGTAGGGTCGCAATATGGTAGATTGTGGGGTGGTGCAAATCTGAGAGGCCAAGTAGCCAAGACAGAGCTGTCACGCACTACCAGTTGTCCTTTAAATAGGACAGTGGGATAAAATGGGTTAATAAATCGGCAAACATTGACTTAAATTAACCAAGAAAAATTATTGAAAATTTTTGTTTGCGCAGATAATAACTTTCTTTTAGTTTGTTGGTCTTTGGTTCGTTAATTGCTCATTGGAAAATTTCCTAATTTTTTCTCGCAGAGAAACTGCAACCCTGTTCAAATATATATTCATTTTGTATATTAATACGGATGTTTATATATTGTTTGATATATGCGTTTTTACAATATTTGCTTTGTATTTGCTTTGCATATATTTGTTTTGTGTTTGGCCACAAATTGTGGTTTGAAATCGATGCTATATTCTTCATATTTACTTTTGATGATGAATAGGGATATATTTATCCTCCTGTAACTGAGAAAAACGGCATTCATAAAATTAGATGCTGTTGCGACTTACATCAGTTGTGACAAACATCAGAACAAGGTCTACGAGCTTTATTATAGCCTAATATTACGGCTTTAAATATCATGGGGACCTAATGAAATTTAAAAACATATTTTTTGACAAATGCAGTGCTAGAAATACTGAGGATAGAGCGTAAATTTTAACCTTGGAAGGGCAGCGCTAAACACATTCTTCTAGCGAATGAAGCTGTGAAGAGTTTTTTATTCGTCCAGTGATGACTAATTCCATCATGTTTAATGTCTCTGATCGCCTCACTAACTCGTATATCTCTTAAAAGATTTCTAAATGTATTAATTAAATTATGTATCTGTGTCATCTTGTGTTGTGAATAAAGGAATTGATGGATCACCATTGCTACCATCCTTACAACTGGCACATTAACGACGTCACAATCTTGATATTATATATGCCGCATAATAATCACTAAAGTGTACCATGAAATTGCTAAGTATAATGAATCTTTATTTTGTTTAGGTACATTGTTATGAAATTTAAAGATTTTTTAGTCCTCATAAACTCTGAGCTTCTATATAAGTAAATTTAAAATTTGTTTAGCAAATAAAAAACTAAAATGAGTATAGTATGCATCTTTACTTCAATGTAGTATTAACGATTATTTCAATAATTAACATTGTACTAAAAGAACACATTTCGTAATACGAAAGTTTAGTTCTGTTGTTTTAAAAATCAAAATTTAGTAATTAGCATTTACGTCGAAAAAAAAAACTTAAAATTTAAGATCTTGCATAAATGTGGTAGTAACAGCTGATTAAATGTTCAGAAAAATAGTGCCGTACTCTGCCAAGGTCCTTTTAGTTAAATTTAGTTTAAATATTTTATTCTGATTACACCAATCAATTAGAGTTATACCTAATTCAGGATTCAACAATCACTGAAAAAAATCATCGAACCATACTGCTCAAAAATTATACATCTGCATTGAGTGCTTTTTTATCAGAATAAAAACACGTATTTGCACTGAAAACCTTATTTATTAGATTCAAAATACATATTTGCATTGAATACTTTATTTATGAGAATAAAAATACATATTTGCATAAAGTATTTAAGATATTTTCTCTCTGTTAAGTTATTACATAGATGTGTTTTTTTTTAAAACGTCAAGACGTAGTAGAAAATAGAGAAATGTGCAATACGTTGGTTGTGAATGAAGGTAAAAATTTTACAGATTTGCTGATCTGGTGTCCGCCGAAAACATCGCGGCAACTATTTCACTAACTGAAACAAAACAAGATATATTATTTAGTAAAAAAAATAAAATAAACAAAGTAAAAGGGAATAATTTTAGAATTTGCTAAATAATTAAACAATTTTAATAGAGGTAACGTTGTGCAGTTACTCATTTTTACTTTTCTAAATTTTTGGGCTATGTTTTTCATCAAAAACTACAACTTCATAAAAGATGCTAATTAAATAATAAAATTTAATACTTGACTACATAAATTCTCAATTCGAATTAACTGTTATACTTAGCATTAATTTTCTATTCATTCTCAGTTCTTGAGTACTTAAGTTTTATACTTGTTTTTTTAAAGCATGAGAAATACATGTCTGCGATATTATCGTCATGCGATTATTTGTAGGTTCTTTTTTTTTATCCCGATACTTTTATCACGATGTTTTAAATGTGCTATGCTTTTGAACTGCTTAATGACAATGATACTTGATGATTTTTACCATGAAGTTTTAGAGCTGTGATGTTTTCTCCTTGCTTGTTTTTTCCCACGAGATTTCGTTTTGTGTTGCCGTTTCGTCTTGTGTTGCATTCTCCCAGCACCCCCTGGATTCAGTTAGTTCTTGGGGGGGGGTGATTCTCTGCTATATTTTCCTTTGCGATGTTTTCTTTTATAACTGCTTAGGGTGAGATACTTTCAGAGAAACTGCCTCAGAATTTCTTTACAAAAAACAAACAAAACAATACACAAAACTCAACACAAAGAGTTTATTAGGTCGCTGAGTTTAGAAACCGAAATAGATTAACAGCCTTTTGGAATCTTTAGCAAGTTAGTTTCTAATGATTAGCAGATTACTTTGTATTTTCTCCTCCTAATGTGGGAAGAAATGGTATAAGAAAGAATACAGGTTTATTTTGAAGCATTAGCATTTAAAAAAAATAATTATCTTGCTATTAATTATTTTTAACCGTAAATTTAGAACTAAAAGTTTTGATAATATATTTCTTAAAAACAAATAAAAATCTTAGTAAATAAAACTATAGAAACATTTTGAATATGAGCATCTGAAACAATTTAAAACTGTCGATGTATTTTTAATTCTGAAGTATGCTATATAGAATGCAGTTAAATTGTTTATAACATTAGAAAATGTTGACCTGGGCTTAAGTCCTGCGGACACGTAATTTAGTTTATAATAAACTGCACAATATGTATCACTGCTAGTTTACAAATATATTGTTATGATTTTTCTTGCTTGCTTAGTGCGAACTGAATTTAGAAACAGCGCAATTTATGTTCTGCATAGTAATTGTAGCGCAGTGCAAATATTAATGATTTTTTGTAAGGAATTTTAAACATAAGCCTTTGAGAAAATATCGATCAAACCTTTTTACGGATTTACATGTTTGCCATCCCGAAACTTGTCTGTATTCACAGATATAAAGCTAAGCAAATATTAAAATAAATAATCTTTTTTGTGTTTACTTCAGTATCGAAATATTTGTGAATAATATCGATTAAATTACCTTCTTTCTAAATCATAATAACAAAAAATTGTAATGATTTAAAAAAAGTAGCACTTTGCCAATCTTATGCTAAAAAGTAATAGTTTCAGAAAGATATTCCGGCGGCGCACCTGTCTTTGAATGGTACTTCATTTTGATCTTGTCACCTTCAAAGTATTTCTAGGGAATTCGATTTTCTGGAGTTTCTCTCAAAGATTTCTTTATTGGTTTGTGAAAGATAGCTTTTAGAAAATTTTACTGAACCACTCGAAGAAATCCACTTCCAAAATTCAGGTTAAAAAACGCCTGAAAAATCGTTAAGGTCATCCAGATGTGCAACAAAACTATCAAACAAGGAGTAAAGAAATAATAATTAAAAGATTTATATTTTGGCTGTCAACTCACAGTGATTAATAAAACAAAGTAAGAGAACTGAATCATTAAAAAACTAATTCAAATTTGTAGAACCATTTTGCTGAGAAAA